TAGGGGTAGTTTAGAGAAAATTGATAAATATGAGAAATGGGTCTTACATTTAAGACCAAAACCAACTCAAGAATTGAGTCCTATATTAAGGACCGGAGGAGTACATCATTATGGTGGCTGATGCTCTTTTTTAACATTATAATAGGTAAATTTGTCTTTTTACTCTTCTACTTTTAACATAAAAATATTAAGAATATTTCAAAAGTATCTAAAATTTGTTTAAAAACTTATTGCAACTTATTTTCAAAAAAATGCATTTTTTTTAAACGGGATGTAACATATATGTTGAAACAGGTTATAGCCAAACACGCAGTCGATAAAAATTTGTAACTCTGCTTTTGACTTGTTTAGAGCTCTGTCTCTAATCCTTCTATATTTAATTAATATTACCTCCGTGCTTAGTATAAAAACTAATTAAAAATTTAATTTAGTTTTAAATATAAAATTTTTAATTTATTTTGTTTCTTATAATTATTTATTTTACTTCCTGATTAATTTTCACAGTAATTGTAAAAATTATGTATTTTTCAATACACATAATTAATAAAAATATATTAAAAATAGTGTTTATTATTTATAAATAATTGATTCAATTAATTTTTTAATATTCATAAATTAGCCATGCGGAGTTGAGATAATTTAATTCTGGCAAAAAAAATATATTACTTTTAAGGGAGGTTGAGGGAAGTCAGGACCAGAAATACCCTTATCTACCATGTCGAAATTGATCGCTATCTTCGCCATCAGAGTATGTATCAAAAGCACCATCATCATCAAAAGAGACGACGGGCGGTGAGAATTCGGCCTTCGGCGACACCCAAAAAGGTCTTCTCTTTACCCTGCCGCTACCGGTGGTGGAGATGACCGAATTCGAATTTGGGCTCCTCCACTTTCATATTTCTATAGTTAAAAACCTCAACAAAAATATCCGGTTCTAAAAATCCAAAAATATGGACGCACACTATTTTTTGACAATAATTGGAATTGCAGAGGATATTCCAAAGCATCTCGAAAGTTGGAAAAGTTGCACCGGAAAAAAGGGCGAAGACAATGAGAGCGAGAGATGTTGAATGTGATTGAAAGAGATCAGAAATAACAGCTTGGGAACTGAGTTTAGTGAAGCTATGAACAAGGGCCTTGTGCTTGATTGGCGGACTGCAGCAACGGATTGCGCTGCGTGTGTGAGGATTCTGGAGGACTTTGTGGCCAAAATCAAAGCAATCATCAGATGCTATGCTTTTGAAGTGATAACAATATCGCCACAAAGTCCTGGAGGTCTGACAAAGGGACTGGCCAGGCTTTGTAAGGAGTCAAAATGGACATGTTACTCTAAAAATTGACAGTAGCGTCCGAAATTGTTTGACCACCGAAATCCTATCCTTGTTTAGCCACCCAAATTTTATCCTACCGAGAATTCTCCAAAATTTAATCCCATACATGTGTAAGTTTAATTTGTTAATCCCATCCAAGATTTTAAATCAGTCCAAAGGAAATGGGGAAGAATTTATCAATAAAGTTGTCAGTATCAGTAAAACTTCTCATGTTAATGTTGTTACCCTTCTTGGATTTTGTTTGAAAGGTGAGAAGAAGGCTCTTATATATGAATACATGTGCAATGGATCTCTTGACAAATTGATTCGGAATAAGGCAAATAAAACTAACTTGTCATTGACTTGGAAAAATTTGTTTCAAATTGTAATTGCACAACTCGAGGGCTTGAATACTTGCATAGAGGATGCAACACTCGAATTCTATATTTTGACATAAGCCACATAATATCCTTTTGGATGAAAGCTTTTGCCCTAAGGTCACAGATTTTAGACTTGCTAAACTTTGTCCTAAGAAAAAAAGAGAGCATTATTTCACTTTTAGAAGCTAGAGGAACTCTTGAGTATCTTGCACCAAAAGTTTGGAATAGAAATATAGGTGGGATTTCATATAAATATGATATTTACAGTTATGGAGTGATGTTATTAGACATAGTTGGCGTGTTGAAGGATGTGACCATGGAATCCTATTTCCTAACTTAGAATTATGTTCTATTTATGATAAACTGGAGCAAGGCAAAGATTTGGGACAAAGTAAGGCAAAGACCACTGAGGAAAACAATATTGTCAGAAAAATAACCATCGCGGGTCTGTGGTACATACAATCATTTCCAACTCAGAGACCTATAATGAATAGAGTGATAGAAATGTTAGAAGGAAGCCTTGACTCACTGCAAATGCCGCCAAAGTCAATTACACCTTCCATTCAAGACGAGAAGTAGAAGTTTTGAAGAATGACAAATAAAGACCTTACAAGAAAATTAGTGTAAAATGAAGACTTGTAAATTATAAAAATAAAAGTTTGTGTAATAAACTTTGTAGTTCAAGTAATAGCCATGTTCTCATTTCACATTAATTTTGTTGGATGATCTTAACTGTCATTCTCTTTAGAATTTCCGCCACGGCTCTTATTAGAGCAATGTATGTGTCTATTATCAAATCCCATATATTGAGGCCTTGGAAGCTCTCCCCTAGATTCTGACTATGATTCCCAAAAGTGAATTGCTTAGCATCCTTTTTGTTCTTCCAATATCAGTAAAATAATCTTTAGCCAGATTCCAAGTGACATATAATGTCTTTAGAAAGCTAGTATCAAACATCTCTCGGGCATGCATCATTATACCAGTGATGGGTATCATCTTGGCAAAAGTTGTTAATGAGAAATGGGTCAAAACATTTATAACTGAACTGTAAATCTATTGTATTCAACTATTCATATATACATGTAGCCATGGAAAGGGAATGATGTTACTGCTGGAAATTAAAGGGCCCCAGAGCGAAAGAAGATTTTTGTACAGTTGATTTTTATCAAATGTACTAATGTATTCTTATATCTATTATTTTGAACATTCTTACTTTCAAAGATAATTCAAATATTGAATTAGTATATTCTATTCCTTTATGGAATTCTTTTTTTTTTTTTTTGGCCAGATGCAAGTCAAGTCTTTGAGAGAGGACTATTTTGTGGCCGTGTGGAATACGCATTTAACAGTCAACAATACATCTCTTCCATCACCTTAAGACAAACCAATGCATTAATTCCTTTTCAACATTTAATATACCTTTTTTTTTTTCAAATTGGGGGGAATACCCATTACAATTTTATTGATGAAGAAACCTGATAAATTTTTATACACAGAAAGTATTAATAATTTGCAATTTTGTTCATACGGATGATGGTACTTTGATTTATGTTTTTTAACTGGGAAATTTTTAGGGTTAATATAATCTTTAATCTCAAGTTTGTCCTCATTTTGGTTTGATTCTTCAAGTTTCAAACCATAGGTATTAATCCCTTAAAGGGTAAAATAGTCCAGATTTTTATTGGATTATAGAGATTAATATTTTGAATAGAAAGAAGCTTAAGAGACCAAAATTTATGATTTGAAACTTGAGAGATCAATCCCAAAATAAGGACAAACTTATTAAAGGACCCAAAATTGTATTAGCCCAAATTTTTAATGGGAGACTTTTGCTCAATTTTCTCTTCTTTTTCTTTTCTTTTTTTTCGTTTGTTTTTCTTCTTGTTTTAGGCCTCTCGTTCCCACTATCCATCCGAGTAAGCCTTGGGAGACTACTTACAGCCGGTAGTTTTCTGATCTGTAGTCTGCTGAAGTGCTATTGTAGCAATTTCATGGAGAGTTTGGATTTGAATCATCTATGACTTATTGGTCCTTTCCCTTGAGATTCGAACTTAAATGACTAGATGACTGAATGAGATAGTTCCCTAAGACCAGATTTGTTGGCATTATTTCATTCTTCAACGGGGTGCTTTTCTTTCCATTTTTTTAATATTTTTAAAGCCGGCAGTGTGTTGAGGACTGAGACAGACGCAGCTTTTAGACAGAACAATCTTTTATATATAATATAGAATCTATAAGCAATGAACAATTCATAAGCTATATAAAAACAGGTATGCTTGCTTCATATTTTGTGCAAAACATGAACTTGTAATCTACTTCAAACTCACTAGCGTTAACCCAGAAAAATTGGCTAGCAGTTAGTCCACGGTAGAAGAGCAGTGTATGTGAATGTGTTTCTTTTGTTCCTTGAAGGTTAAAACCAGTAAACCAAAGGGTCCTTAAATTTCAAACTTGAAAAGTTGAAATCGTGGGATTTGTGCCCCACATGCATGGAGTAGGGCCAGTCACTGGTGCAAGGAGGCCGGCGACAAGCAATTTCATCAGGTCACAAAGCGCGCGTTTTGGAGCCAAAAGGCGATCTGGGTGCGCAATCCCGTCGTATGGTCATAATCTTACCCCCTCTATGGTCTATAGTCTATTCAAATGAGATGTGACAAAATTTGGGTTCCTTAAATAATAGCGAAAAACTTCCTCCTTTTTTTTTTTCCAAAGATCCTCAAACATGATTCTTCCTTCATTTTTCCCGTTGAAAACGCATGTAGCTAGTCAGGCCACATCTGAAGCTGAGAGGTGGTTTCCTGATTGACATTTTGAGTAAGGCCCGATAGTCTCTAATATGCAATTGTATATCAAGGGCAAAAATGACATTTGATGGGGATTGGTCGAATTGAAAATCTCTGTGTAATGCCATTCTGTGAATGACTTTTATTCCATGAAAATTGTACTCCTCCGGTTCTTAATATAGGATGTAATTGTTAAGTTGATTTTGGTCTTAAATATAAGACTTATTTCTCATATTTATCAATTTTTCTAAATTACCCCTATGGATATTACCTCAACCATTATCAAATAAAAAAGGGAGAGGGGATATTAAGGAAGATAATTGTGGTGTTTTAGAAAAAACATGTCTTATTTCTTATAATTAACTAACTTACCTCACTTCCTTAATCTAATCAAATTAGTTAAATATGTTTTATATTATCACCGCAGAAGTAATATATATTGCCTTATTACTCAAAGCATGCTTGTGTTTCGTTTAACTTTGATTTATAGCCCTGTGAGAGTTGTTTCTTGATAGCCATTCTCTGCAATGATCATACTGTACAAGGGTCCGCCTTCTGTTGTTTTACGTCAGCTTCTCTTCAAGACCTTCTTCTTCGTTCCCATTCTCTTTTATGTTACCGCTGCAAATGAACAATTTTCAGCTTGCAAGCCTTTTAGCTGCGGAAACGTCATCAGTCTGAGCTTCCCTTTCTGGGTCGACTCACTGCCTGCTTATTGTGGTCATCCTAAGTTCAAGCTTCATTGTGACGGAGACAATGTTACTATCAACATTAATTCCCAGACTTTTAGGGTAATCCATGTTAACTCCGCTGCTAGAACTCTTACGATTGCAAGAATGGATTTGTGGGGTACCAAGTGTTCCAATCAGTTCACAAACATCACGTTGGATTATTCTTTCTTTGACTACACTCCCAATGATGAAAAATCTACTCTATTATACGGCTGCCACCCTTCAAGCAATGCCACTCTGAATTCATCAACTGCTGTGAGATTTGATTGCCCCTTACATGGTATTCCTCGTGAAGCATACTTTTTGTGGACCAACAATTGGACCAGGACTGGTCTGGGGTGTAGAACTAGCATCACTGTTCCTGTTCTGGGTGTGGCACTGAGAAGTTTCATAGATCCTGGTGATGTTATAGATCAAGGTTTTGGGGTTAAATGGGAACTGAAAGGAGGGTGGTGTGATGATTGCAGAATTTCAGGTGGAAGATGCGGTTACAACGTAAGTCTGGATGAATTTACATGTTTCTGTCCCGATGGGGTTTGTTTTGCTGATCGATTAGAAGAAGAAGCAGCGCCAGCACCCTGGCCGGAACCAAGGCCTTCTCGTTCTTCAGGATCATCAACAGAGGGTATGTGTTCTTTTTCCCATAGCTTCTAGTTTTGATTAGATTCCTCTGCTTCTTAATGTGTTTTGGATGGAGACATCAGATTTTCTGATGACAGTTAATGAAGTAGTTTGCCATTCACATTTACGTAACTAAAGTAACCATCAGGAAATAAATTTATAGATATCAGCAACGAAATTAATCTAAGTGTTACATTTATCCTCTGTAGCAACCAATTTTGTGAAGATAATTTCATTATCGTCTTCACCTCAGTCAACCGGGGTTTATTTTCCCTTTTACTATTGTGTACACAAATATAATACTATGTCCGGTCTTTAATATAAGAGCTAGTTTAATATTCAATTTGGTTCTAAATATAAGGCCCTAATTCACTCGTCTTTCATATTTATCTTTTTTTTTAAGGTAATACTTATAGTAGTTGTATATATTAAGTGTTTCATTAAATGGTAATTCTAGGTAAAACATATGATTAACATAGTATTTTAGAAAAAATAATACCTATTTTATAAATAACTAGCTTAACTAATTTTTTTAATCTAATTAAATTAGTCAACTAGATTTCTATATTAAAAAGTGGGCGTAGTAAGTAGGATAGTCAAGTTGCTGAATTTGTCTGCGTGACCTTTGAGTCTACATTTATCTTCGTCATCAAACAATCGGTCAGGGTCCTCAAATCATAGTTGTCTTTCAACTCGTCTCGCAGTCTTTTGAATGGCTTATAATAATCACGAGTTAGATAAGAAAGTTAAAAGACCTTACAAATTTTGTTGTCGTTCTTTAATTATTAAATTATGACGATTATAATGACTTGATGAAGTGGTAAATTATTTATCAAATTGTTATTTTTTTTCATATTTAGGTGTGTTAGGATTATAGTTTTGATGATAACAAAGTCAGATAATTTGGGTTAAGTATTTTGATCGATCAACTGATCGATCAATCGTTTATCGCTAAGGTTTCAGATAATTGTTCAAGTGTAAATCAGGTTTATAGTAGGTATTTGGATCGAAGAACTATTCGATAAGTAATTAATCGATAAAGTGATCGATTATCGCTAACGTGGAAATCACACAAGAGTATGGTTAATTATCGATCAACTGATCGATAATATCAGATAAACAATCGAGTTACTGATAAGAGAACCAAATCTGAAGTGTATTTATCGATCACGTGATCGATAAATCAGTTATCAATAACGACTTCGATAAAAGGTAACACAATCTACTTGTTCTGCACATTAATTCTGTTACCAATTTATCGATCATATTCTCGATCATTTGTTTATCGATCACGTGTTCGAACATTATGCTCTAACTCTCTGAATGCAGGTAATCAACTTCACTGATGGATCGATAACCTTATTGATCATAAAATTATCGATCACATGATCGATAATTATGTCTTTATCTACTCTTATTTAGTTTTCCTGCAACCAAATTATCGATAACATTATCGATAAATTTAACTTGTTTGCATAAATAACTTTTCACATAACATGATCGATAAAGAGTCTAAGGATTGCTATATTCACATTAACTTATGTTGAACTATTTTCGATCACCTAATCGATCACTGTTTTTCGATAATATGATCGATCATTCAATTCCCTGAAACTCATGTTTTCACAAAACGTGATCGATAATCAGTTTCTTTGTCTTACAGGATTAAATTTCTCTTCTCACTTTATTCGATCATTTGTTCGAATATTCATTGATCGATCAACTGTTCGATCACTTCAGATAGTCTGTGTCTTTCATTGAATATATTCATACCCATGGTTTATCGATAACATTATCCATCATACATTTATCGATAAGTTGTTCGATCATCAATGACTGAAGTTTCATTTCAATAACATTTGAATTATCGATAATCTGTTCGATCAAACAAGTGTTCGATCACTTGTTCGATCATGGAACGATTTCCTTTTGCTATGATAATTCTTAGAGTCAATGATCCAACACTTGATCGATAATATTGGTGAACTAATTCGAAAAGTCTTCATTCTGTTTATCGATAACCTGATCTATCATCAAGTAATCGATCATCTCTTCGATCAAACTAAACCAGAATGACTTTCTGCTCTTCTTACAGATAAATGATTTCGTCACAAATCTTTGAATGATAAATTTGTTTCTCTTCTTGTTCATGATTAAAGTATTCACCGCAAGACTCTCATTTGCTCAAAGCTTAAAATATGCAGATTAATGAAAACGAGTGCAACGGCTCTTCAACGGGATTACGTAGACTGCGACCTACAGTGTCAGAAGCTCAGACGCATTAATGGCGGAGCCGTTGAAACCAGCGAAACACGCAAACGGAGTCACAACGGCTAGAAGCTCTTCCGTCTAACGGCTACTTAACGATATCAACTATAAAAGGCGCGAAGAAGCATTAATGAAGAGATTGAATACCGGAACTACCACCTGCGATTATTTAGTCTAGCATTCAATACTCTGTTTTTCACGTTACTACCGAGCATCAGTGTTTATCATTAAATTCACTCTGTAAGAGAGCCAATTACTACTCTTATTAAAAACTTGAGTGATACTCAAGAGTGTGGACTCTTGAGAGGGCTTGTATCCTTACGGGAGTAAGGGGGAGTGATTGAGCGATTCAATTACTGTACCGAGGCACCAAGAGCCCTGTCGATCTTGGAAGATAGTGAAATACTCAGAGGTGTTCTGGGGACTGGAAGTAGGTCACGTGGTTTAGACCGAACCAGTATAAATCTTGTGTCTCCTCTCTGCGGTTAAATTTCTCCTTACTCTGACTCTCTGTTTTTATTCAATACTGTCACGCATTTGATTTAAAATTTTTGTAACTCACCCAATTCACCCCCTCTTGGGTGAGATTGTTTCTAACATTTGGTATTAGAGCAGGTCTCTTCACTAAGGATTTAACAGTCCGAAGAGAGATCAAATGGCAGGATTTGGAGATAGCGTGCTACCCGAAGGATGCTCAACATCTAAACCGCCAGGCTTCAGTGGAGAAAATTATACCTTCTGGAAAATGAGGATGAAAATCTTCATCAAGGCCACAGAGTATGGTTTGTGGGACGTAATAGAACACGGCAACTATGTCCCGATGAACACAATAGATGGCCAGCAAGTACGCAAGAGTCCCAGGGAGTTCGATGAGGAAGATAAGAAGCTGGTGACTCTAAATGACAAAGCTATCAACATACTCACGTGTGCGCTTAGTCAGAGGGAATACTTCAGAGTCTCAAGTCTGGAAACCGCGAAGGAAATGTGGGAGGCTCTGGAGATAGCTCATGAAGGAACCACCGGTGTAAAACAGAGTCGAATCAACACTCTCACCACCGAATTCGAATTATTCAGAATGAAGGAAGGAGAGAGTATCCGAGATATGGAAGTCAGATTCTCACATCTCATAAACCACCTCACTGCACTTGGGAAGAAATATAGTCAAGAAGATCAAGTGAGGAAAATACTGAGCGGTCTCACAAAAGAATGGGAACCGAAAGTAACAGCTATTGAAGAAACCAAAGGAGAATCCATTGGTTCTGTCGCAGCACTGTTCGGGAGCCTCGCTGAATATGAGAGCAAGCAAAAATACAAAAAGGAGATGAATGAGAAGAACCGGAAAAGCATCGCTCTTAAAACTCAAGAGAGCGAAGATGATAATGAAGATGATCTTGATGATGATGAAATGGGCCTTATAGTCAGAAGGTTCAAGAAATTCTACAAAAACAGAACCGGAAAGAAGTTTCAGCCGAAACGCAGAATTTCTTCATATCCGAACGAACCAAAGGATCCAATCATTTGCTTCGAATGTAAGAAGCCAGGACATATCAAGGCGGAATGTCCCCAACTCTCCAGAACGAAGGACAAAGAAAAGAAGAAAGAAAGAAAGAAAGAAGAAAGAAAGAAGAAAGCCTTCGTCACATCAATCTGGGGAGATAGCTCTTCCGATGAAGAAGAAGGAAGTGATGATGAAGAAGACCGCTAACATCTGTCTAGTGGCCCAAGAAAACGAGGAATCAGAAACAGACGAGGTAATAATTTCTGAACCATCTTATGATGAATTACAGTCCGAATACAATGCTTTACATTTAGAATTAGTAAGAATTGCAAAGGAGTTAGTAAGTTCTAAGAAAAGGATAAAGTTTTTAGAAGATCAACAATCAAAAGTTGAAGTCAATACAGACTCGACTTCGACTTGCAAAAGTTGTGAAAAGAACGAAAGAAAGATTAAAGATCTTACCAGAACCTTAGAAAAATTCACTAAAGGTAGCGAAATGCTTAAGGTGATCCTAGGAGCTCAACGGTGCTCTATGGACAAAACTGGTATAGGATACGATCCAACCCAAGATAAATCGAAAGGAAAGAAAAAGAGTAGTGGTAGATCATATCTTACATATTTTAGAAATTCTGTGCACTCTCAAATCCATTTGCACTTTGCTCTCACTGCAACCGTAAAGGCCATTCAACTTCTTCTTGTTACTATAAGAAGAAAGGAGATTACGGAACATTAAAATGGGTGCCCAAAGGTACTTATGTACCAAAATAACTCATACTAACCAAAAAGGACCCAAGAAGGTATGGGTACCTAAAACATGATTGTAATTTTGCAGGTATGTCTCAAGGCATCCAGAACAAATAAATGGTATATAGACAGCGGATGCTCCAGACACATGACGGGTGACACTGAGAAGTTTACATCACTCAAACCAAAAGACGGAGGAAAAGTAAGCTTCGGAGGAAACCAATCGGGAAAAATTGCTGGAATTGGAGAAATCGGAAGTAGCATAGGCATGAAGGTCGAAGACGTGTACTACGTGGAAGGTCTATGTCATAATCTCCTCAGTGTCAGTCAGAGTGCGGACAAAAACAACTGGGTGATCTTTGATTCTGAAGAATGCTTAATCATAAGCAAAGATGACCTACCCTTGAAGAAAGAAGAATTGAATACAAAGCTGAGAGCTCCGAGGGACGGTAACTGTTATACACTTCAAATTGATTCTAAAACTTCTGAAAACTGTTTTATTAGTAAAAAGGAGGAAAGTTGGATTTGGCACAAACGACTTGCAC